CCCCCCCCCTCTCAAAGGCTCCGTGCCACATTCTAAAGCATTTATGTCTATGCTGAACGTATGCGACCGCCTGTGAAACGAGAGTTGCGCGCACCTAAAGTTGCCTTGTCTTCACGGTGTGCGATTATATTGTTTTCCCGCCGCCATGGTGGGCGAGTTCGCTAGAATGAGCGCGGGTAACCAAGCACACGCACCTCGCCCTCTACTGCTGTCGACCCGCCCTTTTGGCCGTCCCCCTTCTCTTTGGAGCACCGTCGCAGACAACGGCGGGGGGCTATCAGATGACACACGCTGATGCAAAACAACGCGCGGCATGCATGATCGCTCTTGCGCGTGAAAAACATGCCGCTAAGTCAGGTGCACGAGGCCTGGCTGGACGGCAAGCGCTACGCGGTGAAAGTGCAAAGGCCGGGGCTCAAGAGGCTGTTCGAGGTGGACCTGAACAGCATCGGGGCTCTGGCGGGGATCCTGGATAGATTCGACCCAAAGCTCGACGGCGCATCCAGGTGAGGTTTCTTGGTGTTGCCTTCCCTCTACTGCTGTAGAAGAGACAGAGGGACAGCCCGGCCCATGTTTCACAAACGCCAGAAGTCTTTCTTCTGCCGCCGAGGTTTATGGAGGTGCCATGCGGTTGTGGGTGGAGCCCTCAAATGCCGTGTGCGAAACTAAACCGCGGCGTCCTGTGTTTGGGAGGGGTGCGGTCAGAGGTGACTCACGTGCACATCGGAAGCTCGTGTTGTATATAGAGAGGGGGCGGATGAGACACTGACATGGGTTGAGAGCAGCTCTATCATTTTCTTGCGGCGAATCTGAGGAACGCAGCTGCTCGATTTTGTCAAGCATTTTCGTTGACGAGAAGTTGAGCGTGTTCGCCGAGATCAACATGGCCGCCTTCGTAATGCCTCCACCGACCGTTGAAGCCTAGGGCTTGTGGTACGCGGCTGGGTTGTACTCCGAGAGGGAACCACCAAACTAAAATATAGCTTTGATGCCGCTATCGCATGCAACGGGTACTGCTGCTGTTGTTGTCAAGTTGGCGCACTTCCGGCGATGGGGCACAAGTGGCGCAAGCGGTTGATTCTTGCAATAGACGACTGACCGCTTCGAAACGGAAATGCAACCGGATAAGGCGCACTACGCTGCCAATCGCGGCGCGGCCCCGTCGTACGTACATTTCACAGTGCTACACGATAGACGATAGTATGTACCGCCGGGGTGATGGCACGAAAGGGAGAGCCGCATGCTGTGATGTTTGCTTACGTGCTGCAGTAGACAGTTCGCGGCGATCGTGCGTAGTACACGGCACGGACAGCGCTGCCTCTCGTTGGTACGTACGAACCCCACCCAAGGTAGTGCTGGTGTAGTCGTCGTCTTCGTCGCGCTTGACCGTCGTGCCTCGTGCACGTGCACAGGGACTGGGGGGCCATCTTCCGAGAGAGCAGCCGGGTGCTCTACGAGGAGGTGGACTACACGCGGGAGGGCAAGAACGCAGAGAGGTTTTCGGAGAACTTTAAGGGCACGGAGTGGATCAAGGCTCCCGGCATAAACTGGTCTCGCAGCTCGAGCAAGGTAAGGTGTGCGTGTGCGTGTGCGTGTGTGTGATTTTTCATGTGCATCGACCGCGCTAACCGGCTGACCAATTAAAAGACGTCTGTGCCAGCTGGTAAAAATCAAGGTCCCTGGACGGGGGCCAAAATTCGAAACATGCGTAATGCGCTAGATGCGAATGCCAATACGACTCTCTCTACATATTCTTTCACGTAGGCACACATCTCAGCAACACAAATGCCCTCGCTCGAATCTAGGAAGCCACTGATACAAAGAGCGGAGGACAACAAAAGGGTTAATTCAAGCCCAGCCGAAGCCAGGATATCGTGTGTGTGTGTGTGTGTGTGTGTGTGTGTGTGTGTTTGTGTGTGTATGTATGTTTTTGTCAAGTCTCCACTCAGGGCTGGGTGCGTTGTGCGGAGCAAACGTTCCCCGCGGGAGGGCGTTTTTATGTTCCCGGTGCCCTGGTCTGTCTCAAGTGAACCCCTGTGCATTGATGTACTTGCCGCGCGTGTGTACCGTCCCCATTACGCGCAATCCGAAAGGCGGATTGCGTTGGGCACAGTCGGTCCTCTATTTGTGAATATGTGTGGTAGATTATTTTGCACGTAGACGCTAGTTGTATCTAGCCTGCATCGGTTTTCTGGAGTTTGCTGATGCGGTATCTACACTTTTGTACAGTTTAAGTCTCGTGCACTCGAGTTGGAGCAAGTTGCCTAGCCCGACCGGACTTCCCGGCAGCGGCGTGCGGGTTGCATCATCCAAAGGTGGCCGTCTGCGCCGCCTGCCGTGTGTGCTGTGTCATGTCCCGTGGATGCGGCGTGTGCAGCCTGGCGCACGTCCACGCCTGGAACGCTTGTGTCGTTTGTCTGCTTGTACGGGGCGTGACGTGACTGCTTTTGGTCACGGCTCTTGCTGTCGAGGAATGACGAATCGCTATCAAATGAATCATGCAGGCGGGTGGCGATCGCTAGCATTTTTTCCCCCAAGTCTTGTGGTGAACGTTTGATTGACGACCAAGAAGGCGATGTCTGGCTATTGAGATGTTGGCTATCAAGTGTGTCAAGTATAGGCGGGCGGCGATGGCCAATGAGAATTGCTGGTTTTGTCAAGTGGTAAGTCTCGTGTGGTGAACGTTTGATTGACGACCAAGAAGACCATGTCTGGCAACATTGATATGTCGGCGGTTGCGGCGGCGGTGACGGCGACGGCATTATACTATCACTTTCAACGCCGCAGGTGTTGTGTATGGAGTACGTGCAGGGCATCAAGATCAACGATGTGGAGGCCATCGAGAAGGCCGGGGTGGACCGCGCCTTGCTGGCCACCCGGACGGCCGAGTGCTACCTCGAGCAGCTCATCCGCCACGGATTCTTCCACTGCGACCCACATCCAGGCAAGCGTCTGTAGGGCAGGAGAGTTTGGCAGTTGGCTTGGTTGGCGAAGATGCGTTGCTGAGCCCGTTGTTTTTGTCTCAGCCAAACCCTCAACTTCGATAGATGACGAGGAGACGTTTATTTTCTAATACGAAGCTTGTGTCGTTCTTTCAGACGGAGAAACAAGCCGGGAACGCGTCGGTTCTTACGACGGCAGCAAAGAGGCTGTATTACGATTTTTGAGGCCTCTTTTTTCAATTGGAACGTCCTGTCGGGGGAGTGTGATTGGCCAAGCGTTTTTGAGCAGTCACGACCGGAGGCTTCTACACCTCTTTGTCTCCGGATGCCACCGACTCCTGGCGATGACCGACGAATACCACCAGACATGTATTGGCTTCGTTTCTCTCAGGTTGACCGCGTATTCCTGTCCGAAGATTGCGTCACAGACTCCGTCCCCCGTAATGCTTCGTTCTTCCGTTGCGGAATCGTTCGTGCATTTGTGTCGACACCACGGCGGTCGGCCTATCGACGCGCGTCCTTCGCCGGGAATCGGTCACGTACGTCAAACAGGGAACCTAGCGTGCGATGCGGTGGACGGCGGTCGCATCATCTTCTACGACTTCGGCATGATGGACGAGCTCACGGTGCCGCTGAAGCGATCGTTTTCAGACCTGATCTTCGGCATCTACGGCAACGACCTCAAGGAGGTCGTGGACTCTCTAGAGGAAATGGACGTCATCAGAAAGGTCAGCTGGAATGGACATTCATTCTTCGTAATACTTCTCCCGGATTAGTGGTGGCGGTGGTGGTAGTCATGCACGGCAGTGTGAAGTTCTCAAGTGCCGCACACGTGGGTGGTGAACGGCACATAAACGGTCGTGGCTTGCGCGAAGGAATGGCGCGGTATTGTTGTGGTGCGGTGTGGTGCAAATCCGCTTTTCGCTTGCTCATGTGCGAGAACCTTGTTTGATCCTGCGGACCTCTTCCGGCGCCACGCTTGTGGCCAGGGCGCGGACCGCATGACGGTGGAGCGAGTAACTCGGTTCTACTTGGGAGAGTTCCAAACCACCCTCACCAAGGGGGGCAAGTACATTAACCAGCTCGACCCCGAGGAGGAGAAGGCTCTCATCAGGTATGCATACATGCAGTCGAATCGTTAGTCGTCCGCCTTTGCCCTTCGTTGCCGGTGTTGGTTGCTCTTGTTGTGTCATCCTTCGATAATAGTGTTCGTTTGTTAACGATAGACAAATGCTCTTACCTTTCCGCTGTTGCTTGATTCAACTTGTCAAGCTGCTACACGACACATACGTTCATATTGTATGCTTCAGTTACACCCACCCCACGCTGTATACCAGTGTATCCCATCTTGGAATGTCTTGGTGCTTTATCCTGGCGTGACACAACCTGTCTCATTGAATTTAGCCCATCTGGCGTCCCAAACAAGAAGCAACGCCGGCCTCAGATTCATTAAAACCCTGTGACCTCTCGTGGCAAGCGTTGTTCGGGCACGCCCTGAGGAATGAGATCCGTCGCCGATCAGATGCGCGGTATACGCGGTCCGCTTTTTCTCACGGCCATCATTTGTCGTGCTTTTCGCCCGGCGTGAGAGATAAATCTTCGTGTGCCCTCACCACCACTTCTCGATCTTTCGTGCGCGGTGCTGCTACCACCCTCTGTCGATTTTTGTCTTGGAGCTCTCCACGTCGCCCAGCGAGGGAACCAGCACAACATGTGGCGTGACGCCCCCCCCCCCCCCCCCCCCCCCCCCCCCCCCCCCNNNCCCCCCCCCCCGCGTGCGCGTTCGTCCGTCCGTCCGTCCTGCAATCAGGCGAGAGCGGGCGCAGATCGGGCAGGACCTCTTCTCCGGGCAGGCGGCGGTGCCCCTTCAGTTCCCCGCGTCGTTCACGTTTGTCTTCAGGGCCTTCACCACCCTGGACGGCATCGGCAAGACCTTGGATGAGGGGTACGACCTCACCAAGATCGCGGGCCCTTACCTGAAGGAGCTGCTTGATTTGAAGGACGGGAACGCATACGTGTCGTACTTGAAGGGCCTGCAGAAGAAGCTGGGTGAGAGAGATAGAGAAAGACCTTGCAGCAGGTCGCCTTTTTTGTGGAGTGGTATGTTGTATGTGTGTTTTGTGGCGTACTTGAAGGGCCTGCAGAAGAAGCTGGGTGAGAGAGATAGAGAGAAAGACCTTGCAGCAGGTCGCCTTTTTTGTGGATTGGTATGTTGTATGTGTGTTTTGTGGCGTACTTGAAGAGGGTGGTGGCGACGCACGGTGGTGTGTTGCCGCTGCCAATTCCGTGGCTTCTGCTGTTCTGGGGGAGAAGACAAGTGGGCGACAGATGCCGTCGGAGTCCAGGCCTTGCGGCACGGCGGTGTTTTCTTGTTGTCAAGTGTTGTTTGACGGTTGCTGCTTTTGCCTATGTCGTGGCGTGTGTTTTTGTGTGAAAGAGGAGGCGCAAGATGCCAGGCGAACCGTGGGGAAATGGGGGCAAATCGGCACGGCTGCATCAAGCAACCTTCAACTGGACGAGGAAAAAACATGAGAGATGGCCTACCCTTCGTTCTCCGCACGTGGTGACCCCGTCAGCTATCTAGTGAAAAAAACATGATATGGCATGATGCGCACAAGCCGCCTAGGGGAGCAGGCCGTTTCGGGCGTGCGGATGCGGCCGCTCCTCGTACTACTTGTGGGCTGTTTCGACTGTTTAACGCTGTAGCGACCGGCCTAAACGATCGATCTTCTTGTTCGGTCGCGTTCTTGTTTTCTCGCAGGGTGGCGAGGCCAAGACCTGGCGAGCGTGGTCCAGAGCCCGAGACGAGTCCAGCACGTGGAGAACGTGGTGACCAAGCTCGAGACCGGGGACCTAAAGCTCAGGGTTAGGGTGCTCGAGTCGGAGCAGGCGTTTGCGCGGATCGAGGCCGTGCAGGGCAGCCTGAGCTCGGCGGTGATGGCCACGCTCTTGCTCAACGCCGGGGTCTTGATGGCGGGGCAGGCGACGGGGGCGGCCAAGTTGAGCTCGCGAGCGATGTTTGTGCTCGCCGGGTTCTTCGGGATCAAGATTCCCATCGGATACTTGAAGGTGAGAGACACCGCAAAATGCTAAGCTTTGAAAATTGGGGGGGGTATTTTTTCTTCTTTTCTTTGAATATATTTTTCTTGCGAAACACAACAGATTCACGTCTTCAGAGATAAAGAGTCCGGAGATTGTAGTCCCTCTGGTGTGAGCTCATGAGGGCATAGCAGTGTCATCAATGGGGGATGCAAGATGAAAATGCAAGGAGGCAGTAGGACCAATAGTGTTGTCCAACTTTTTTTTTTTCTTTCTTATCTGAGTGCGTGTGGTTGGAGAATCCTTATTAGCGTGTTGCGGCCTTTTGGTGTTGGCCTTGCCCTCGATTGTTGCTGTGTTGGCGTTAGGAAAAAGATCTCCTCCATGTGAGAGTTGAGCGAATGTTTGCACCAGAAAGTCGGGGGAGTCTTTCCTGTGTCTCGAGTAGGCAAGAGCGCGTTTTCGCTTGCAGCGCTGGTTTTGCGTTCACGTACGCTGGTGCTGCTGCCCCTGTGCTGCGGCCGTTCTGCTTGTGGTGCAATTTGTCGCCCCAGCTCGGAACCAGCCAACGCTTCGTTGACTGCATCGACAAACTTTCTGATCGATCTCAAACGCTATACATACACTTTCCAGAGCCAATATTGTTTGCTCGCCCCGTGTTGCAGCTCAACAAAGTACGTCATGAAATGAAGAATAAGAGTCAGTGTTGGCCATTCGCTGTATCTGTAGTTCCGGCGCGTACTGATGACCCGATGTCCTTCCGCCTTTGCATTCCTTTGTGCTGCACGGATCTATTGCAGGTCTGGCGGTTGAATCGACAAGCGAGCACATCGAAGGGCTTCCGTTAGCGTTGTAGCGAGGGGAGTTGTTTTTTTCCCGCGGGCGCTCGGGTGAGCCCTCCTTTCAGCGCCGCGGTTTCAGCCTCTCCCGCGCGAGGGAAAATGGGCATTAGAGCGAAGGGAGGTCCAGCTGCCAGGACCGCGCGTTGAGAATTTGAACCTCTTTGTTTGGAGGTGTTGGTGACTGACAGACGGCAGAAGGGCAAACAGCGTGGTGGTTATTGTTGTAGTGCATACGCGGCGTTGGTGTGGCACGTGGCATGGTACCGCGCGAGGTGTGAGGTATTGATTCGTTATTGATAGACTTTAGGACCCCGGACACGGGGGTGGGTAAAAAAGTTGCCCCCCGCCATTGTGAGGCTAAATTGCTTGAACCCAGGACCTGTTACACACACACACGGCCGCCGGTGCTGTCATCCCTTGAGACTACTGTTTTCGCCATGTTGCGGGGGAAAATTGAAAGCACGTGCCGCCTAGGGATGGTCACTCAAGTTTTCTTCTTGGAAGTTTGCGGGGTGGCCTATGGGCAGGCTGGGTCGGGGAGGACATGGAGCGCTGGTCCCTCTCTTTGGTTTAAGCGAGACAAATTGCGGCTTCTTGGAAGCTCGGTGTTGAAGCTGAATCCTGTGGTTGGGTCTTCGAGGGTAGGTAGGTGGTACGGTCCGTCCAGTTGGCAAGTCCACCGAAAGTACCCCCATGAGAGCGGAGTGTGGATGATGCGCTGTCCGGTTAGAAAGTTGATGCTCGCCCACTAAGGTGTGAGGGGTGACCCCAGGTGCGTTTCGTGAGTGCCTTTTGCACCCAGACAACTTTTCGTTGGCCGGGGTTGCCCTTGCTATAAGTACAAATTTTAAAGCTCGGGTGTGCGAAGCACATGGAGACCACGTCGTCTGCCGTGCTCACAAAATAGTCTGGTTGTTCGGAGGGGCGACCCGCTGTGGGAGACATGCCACCGACCGAAGGATTGTCGAATGCAATCGATCAAGGGGGAGTAACTTATTTGGCGCGAGCACCAAATTTTAAGTTGAGTAGAATCTGCAGGTATTTATCCTGGCTCAAGTTTGACTTCAGACTAAAAACGGCATGTGAGTACCCTGGCAGAGAAACAACGGAGGCAACCCAAAACCTGGACGTAGGGGCCAACAGGTAGATGTACCTTTTCTTCGCCCCCATATGACTTTGTCCGCCGGTGTAGTACTTGTTTTCTCCTGTTGTGGTCGTAGCCAAGGGTTGCAACACCTCCCGTCTTTTGATGAGAATCTTCTGTTTGCCTTTTTTTTTTTTACTGGTGGTGGTCGTGGGGGTTTCCGGTTACCAGAGGCGTTGAGGTAAGGCGGGGCTGAGGAAAATAGAGGGTTTTTGTTTCAGTCCGAACCTAGTTGAGCACACACAACTTTTTTGGTGGGTGAGAATGAGAGAAGGTCGGGGTTATGCTTTAATATTTGTGTATCGACGTTTCATGTTGGGTTCTTGGGTTGATGCGACCGTTGGGTTTGAGGAATCGAACCTGCAGCACCTTAGCGGGGTCCCACCGCCCAAGACTTCTTCGGATGATCGTGTCGTGTCCAAAGCAAGATAGATTCATACGGTAAACAACACGGTACTAATCTCTCCGATAAAGATGAACCAGACAGGAAATCACTAACTCTCCTGCGTGCAGTAACCAAAGCAAGCACTGCTGTGTGAGGCCCTCGTGCACCCAAGCCCGAGTGTGCACACCACCCTCCGTGCGTCCTCACAAACAGCAGCCGCTTCGATCCGAACCAGAGCCAGGAAATTAAAAGCAGCAGACTTTGTCGCGAGGAAAACGACACTCAAGAGGGCGGATTGCCTCCCAGAGCAGCACAGGTAAGTTTGTTTGCGTGAATGAACAGCCCACCTGGTAAAAAAAAGGCTCCGCTCTAGTCCATCCGTCCGGTGTTTAGGGTTTGGTTTCATGGAATCAAACATGCAGTGAGAGAATCAAAGTCCTGCTATCTAGCGGAGGCACTGCGATAGTGTATCAAGCGATACACGAAAACTCACTACATACCTCAAGTACACCCCCCAGTGCCCTCAAATATGCACCACTCTGGACCTGTTCTACAAACAGCTGAAATCGAAAATGGCATCCGAAGGCCACCCATCAACAGAAACGCTACAGGTACAATTACCCATGGAACATTAGACTCATTTCCCATGGAACACCGCGAGATCTTCGACAAAGACAAAAAACAAAATCTGAACTACCGGGCGAACGGACATGACACTCGACCATCGCCACCGAAATACAATCAACCAGCGACACAAATCATACGGGGAGGGGTTAGTTACCCTTGCTGGGTCTGTGATTGCCCCTTGGTCGCGGCGAAGCAGTAGGCCTTGGCGTTCCTGCTCAAAACGCGACAGGGCAGCGAGTTTTCCAGAAGAGCGGGGGGGGCGGATGGGTGATGGTGGCCGCGGGCAGACAATAACGCCATACTTGCTTCACCGCTCGGAAATAATGGAAATAAAAAAAACGGGGAAGGCACAAATTCATGTTTGCCTACTTTCAACTCCGCGATGTGAATGAGGCCTGGCGTCGGCATGGCGATCACCGGGGAAGCCTTCTGGCCCCCTGATGTGAGCCCTCGTTTCGAGGGCATAGGCAGCGTTTCACTGCTACAGCTATCGTCGCGTGCTTAGGTGGCTGGGCTACCGCTGGTGTTTTCAAGAAGAGGGCTTGGTTCTACCGCCGACTGCTGGCTCGAACGGCCGCCGTCGATAGGCCCAAGTCCAACAAGCGAAGGGTATTCAAATCGTGTCTCGTGAAATCATCATTGCCGCGCTCGTGTCGTTAATGTACAAGACTGACACATAGTTGCGCCGGGTTCATTACAACCAAGACAAACTAACCCCACGTAGAGAGGGAGAGAAAGAGCGAGACGCACCTGAAAGTGGACATGTCCTGCATGGCGGTCTGGTGGTGCTTGTACTCGATGAGCGTCGACGGCTCCAGGTCCAGGACCTGCTTTAGGCGCTCGCCGATGTTGAACCTCACCTGATGACGCGGCCAACGAGCGGCATTGCCAACGAAACGGGGGACACCAGCAAACGGAAATCAACCAGCAGCGGCAACCGCAAGAGGAGCCATGAGCAAGGGAAAAAGTAATCAGCGACAGCCGCAACAAGACACGAACAGCATCCAAACGGGCCAGAAATACGACGGAACAACGAACTTGGTGGGATAAGGGACGAAACATTAAGGGTCGGGAGTTCCTGCCGCATTACCACAATACATCTACGCAAGAGCACGAGGGAAGAAACGCGAAACGCAGGGGACCCTCGTCGGCATGCACCCGGCGCGTCCCATTGCTTGCTTCTCCTGTCGCGTCTAGGGTGTCATGTCAACACATACCTTCTCGTTGCTGTTGTCTTCGTTCCACACCGACAGCAAGTCCTCCCTCGAGCGGATGGCCATGCCGATGCCCACCACGTTAGGCTCCTCGAACATCTCTCCGACCACAGCCAACACCAGGTCCTGGCCGCCGGTGGGGGGAAAACAAGGACAACGACCACCACCGAGCACGGAACGGCATGAGCACCATGAGATGCAAGGCGGCAGCGTTTGTAGTGATCCATGTGCATAGACCACTCGTGAGTGTGTTACGAACCCATAGACAAATTAGTCCAGCCCCCCGGGTGTTTGCCATCGGGGTTGGCTTTTCGCCGCTTGGCAACGACGTTGTAAAACAAGCCGATCACTTCGTGAGCTCGGCAATGGGGTTACCGCCTTTTTGCATCTGTTGTTTTCTTCGGGGGCTTGCCATCGGGGTTGGCTTTTCGTCGCTTGGCAACGACGTTGTAAAACAAGCCGATCACTTCGTGAGCTCGGCAATGGGGTTACCGCCTTTTTGCATCTGTTGTTTTCTTCGGGGGCTTGCCATCGGGGTTGGCTTTTCGTCGCTTGGCAACGACGTTGTAAAACAAGCCGATCACTTCGTGAGCTCGGCAATGGGGTTACCGCCTTTTTGCATCTGTTGTTTTCTTCGGGGGCTTGCCATCGGGGTTGGCTTTTCGTCGCTTGGCAACGACGTTGTAAAACAAGCCGATCACTTCGTGAGCTCGGCAATGGGGTTACCGCCTTTTTGCATCTGTTGTTTTCTTCGGTAACCGTCATGGTGGTCGAGTAGATCATGTTGTTGGGGTTCAGAACCCTCACTCCGCGGAAAGGAGATGCTCGCACCACGTTGTGTCAAAAATGGTCAAGCACCCTCGAGGCAGCTACACAGTTTTGTTTTGTTTGTTTGTTTTTCTCCCATCATTGGNTGGACCCCCTCCTGCGGTTCCTGCCTGAGGTATTTTTATCGCGAGAAGGGTACAGCAATCCCTTCCCTCGCGACTTACGAAGTCGATTATGGTTTACTAACAAACGAGCTTTGCAGCGCGTCGCTTTCATCCTAGACCAGGATTTATGTAGTGAGAAAAAAACTCTCTCTGCCGGGTCTCGAACCCATGACCTGGCCCTTAGCAGGCTACGAGGTTATCCACTATACCACCGGGGCGACCGGTGCTAAGCACCGTCAGAGTGAAAGCACCAGCAAGTAAATCAAGCCATACGCAGGTGGCATCCGTACGCAAGGAAGAAAACACAAGATGCCGAACACCCTTAGCAGGATGCAGCGCACCCTTCATGCGACTCGCCGAATA